TAATATCCTTTATCAGTAAACTATTCCAAGATACAAAACCTCCTCATATTTGATGTTTGTACTGTATCATTAGGCCATAATCTCTTAATATCCTTTATCAGTAAACTATTCCAAGTGTACACACGGAGAGGTAGCTAAGATCCAGCTCCCAGCTGGTACAGTGTCTGATTAATATTGAACTTTTGTTGAAGCATGAAAGCTCAACGTTATTCTTTGCTTTGCTTTCTCTCTGAAATTATGCGAGCTTCCTGTATAAGAAATCGGCTATTTATGCGGTACGCCGCAGAAACAGAGGAATTTATACTTTTTTGTATAAATAGAAATTCGATTATATCTTCCTCACCGTTAATTTTATTAAGGGTACAGGTGATTAGGCATGCAGTCCTTAACATTTGAATAATGATGGAATACCAGAATTTTTTTTATTGAAAATTATTGTAGTCATAATTTTTAGTGACTCTCATTTTAAGAGTAGCATGGTATCATTCACAATGATGAGCTTTGAACATCTAACAATTTGGTAATGAAGCAATTGGACATCTCACAATTATTCTTGATGAGACCAGCACCGCTGGGAATCGAACATGTCGCTTAAAATTACCTCTGCAGTCCCTTAAATTAAAAAATGTTCAGAAAATTGTACGTATTGATTAAAACAAGTTTAAGTCAATGAAATGATGTGTTTTCAGCTGATGTTTTCCTCTCAAACTCCCTTGGGCATAAATGTTCATTAGCCTGTATTAAGTAATAGGGAAACTAACATTAATGCATACTTTTTCCCAGGATGGGAGGTGGGGGGGGGGTGAGAGGGAGAATAAATTTACGTCAATTATGATTGACTTTTATATTTTAAAAAGTTAAAAATACAAAATATTATCGAAATTTGTATTTCTTTTGTCAAAATTAAAACATTTTTGTAGAATAAATTCAACCTTAAGATTATAGTATGTAAGAATAGGGATGGGCACTCTAGACTGTTTATTATAGTCTTCCGGACAAATCAATTTATTTCTCAATAGTGTGTTGTCAGCATTATTTTCTAAACATAAACCAGAGAAATTCAAAGTATGTTGTTAAACTTGTATTGCCAAGGATTTGAGAGGGAGAGAGTGAGATTGGATGGGGGGGGGGATAGAATTTCCTCAGCTATCAAAACAAAAAATGCCAAGTCAATGCTCCTGCTTGATTGTAAAAATTGTTGTTTTGAATTTAATGCACAAATCTGCATTGCCTTTTCTTTGGAATTTTGTCCATTTTTTGCATTAGCTGATTGCAAAATTAATTCTCTTCTTTAATGACGTATTTCTTCTTGGGGGGGGGGGGGGGGGGGGGGATGAAGAGCCCACATTAGGAAATATTTAGAAACGTGAGTTGAAAGCATTTTTTTAGTTGGACATTTTTTGGTGGGGGGGGGGGGCACTGGTCTTTTGTTCCTCTCTTCAAACCCCCTTCTATACTTATTTTTATTAATTTTTCACAAATTTACGATTTCTAATTCCTCTTTCTGACTTATTATCTTATTTATACATAAATTATTAAAGGAACTGCTCCCTTTAAACCTTTGCCTAATCAATGGTGAGTAGGTTATTTTTTCTCAATTTCTTATAACCTTGTTATATATTTTTTTTGTCTTGTCTAGTTTGGGAAATATTTGACACATTCGCATAAAGTTTCCTCTAATCAATTGTCAGAAAGACAAATTAGGATTCCTCCGTCATTGATCTTAAGAGAAAGGTATAAAGAGCAAGGTTGTTATTCTGACATGTCACACTGTGGACTAAGGTCAATTTGAATTTGAACCGGATCGACCCCTAGTACTGGCCTTATAGTGTCGGGCAGCAAGTACGGGCCAGACCCTTCTACTGGCCTTAGTGACGCGCAGCAAGTTACCGGCCGGATCCTATCCTATTCTGGTTCGGTTTCAACTTTGACGGCGTGGCGAGATTTTGTAAGCCTATTTGACCTACACCACTAGCCTAGTCACTCGATATCATGAACTCAAGGCTACAACCCTTTTCATAAAAAGAATACCATGTGAAAAGTCAACATCAGCTGTTCAGGTGTATTTTCATAAGTTAAACATTGAGTGTCAAAAAATATTTAATTTCAAATATTTGTTTAAGAATTATAGCTTATTAACTTTAAACACGTTATGAATTGAAAAGCATAGTTTTAGTAATAATGGGATATATGTAGACATTTCTGAAAATTTCAATTGCTGTCTTATTTCACAATAATCTTGTGAGAAAAAGTGTACGGTCTCGTTCTGTCGTCTTTAGTCTGTATACCTTCTGTACAAATAGTGTACTGTGCTGTTCTGCCATCCATAGTCTGTATGCATACTATACAACTATAAGTGGTTTGTCCTGTTCTGTCGTCTTATAGTCTGTATGCATACTGTACAACCAGTGGTCTGTCCCTCTGCTGTTTATAGTCTGTATGCATACTGTACAACTAGTGTACTGTCCTGTTCTTCCATCTACAGTCTGTATGCATACTGTGCAACTAGAGTACTGTCCTGTTCTACCGTCTTATAGTCTGCATGATACTGTACAACTAGTGGTCTGTCCTGTTCTGCCATCTATAGTCTGTATGCATACTGTACAACTAGTGTACTGTCCCCTTCTGCTGTTTATAGTCTGTATGCAACTAGTGTACTGTCCTGTTCTGCCATCTATAGTCTGTATGATACTGTACAACAAGTGTATTGTCCTGTTCTGCCATCTATAGTCTGTATGCAAACTGTACAACTAGTGTACAAACCTGTTCTGCAACTTAGTTAAAGTTAATGTTTATGACTGAAGCAAGCCCCCCCCCCCCGCTCTAGCTGATTCCATTTTCCCCTATGTCCCCTCTATAGCACTTCTTTTTTCAATATACTTACATTTTACAATTCTATTTAAAGTTTAAATTTTGTAGTATTTGCATTTTTTGAAGCCATATCACTTACAGATGCATTACAACTCGATATGATACACAGGGGAAAAATCTATGTAAAAAAGTCACATGAAAAAAGTATCTGGAAAGATAAACCTGGAAATAAAAACTTGGGTGAAAAAGTCCCAATTTTCTGAAGTCCTAGGACAAGATGTTTCTGGATATTAAGTCCTCAGTTTTAGATTCCTGGGACTTTTTTTCCTGAAACAATAAATGGGGGCTGCCAATACATTCTCAGGAAATAAGATCACAGGAATTAAAGTCCTAAAGAAAAAAAGTCTTATGTCTTGGGAAAATGAGGTCAAATTTTAGAAGTTTTCATAAAACGGACTTTTCTTCAATGCATTTGCAGATTGAGTATGCCTACGGATGTTTTTTATATCTAGTCCCTTTTTTCCATGGTTGTAAACATCTTTTGTTTTGATGCATTTTCCACTGTAAAAGGACTTTTTTCTGGAGATTTTTTGTACAAAATCAAACTGGAACCAGAAAAAAAGTTCTAAAAATAATGTTTCAAAATGTTTGGACTTTATTTTCAGAACTTTTTATCTCAAGGACTTTTTAGCGCCAAAACTTAGGACTTTACTTCCGAAAACTTTTTTTCAAAGAACTTTTTTGGCGGTCACCGAAAAGACACATGTTGACACAAAATTATTGATTACTGGATCAAAAGTATCCAGACCTAAACTAAACTAAAATAGCATTTTTGTTTGATTAAATCTTAATAAAACGACGATATCCAGCTTTACCGTTAAAAACCCCGATTTACAGCTATATCAATACAAAACGTAAATATCCATCTTTAGTTGTAAAACGACGATATCCAACTGAAGATAAAAGGACAATATCCACTATCCAGCTTTACCGTTAGAAACTACGATATCTAGCTTGTTTAGATAAAAAAACGACGATATCCAGCTGTAGGGGTGAAACGATGATATACATCTTTAGCAGCAAAACGACGATATCCAGCTTTACCGTTAAAAACCACGATATCCAGCTATTAATAAAAAACGACAATACAGTCGTTAGTGGTAAGACAATGATATCCAGTTATAGCGTTAAAAACCACACTATCTATCCAGATATATAAAAACTATATCCACGATAATGTTGAATATAAATCCGAAAATCATGACCGAAACGTTTTCGAAGTTACAAACATTTGGTTCGAGTCAGAAAACGTTTTAAATGTATTTAACCTAAAGTTAATAGCTCGTAAGATTAAGATACAAACTAAAGGTTACTACAAGGTCACAAAGTCGTACCAGGAATGTCTCATAGATTTAACCCTCATCTTCTGCAGTTTTGTCTAGCCGAGTGAAACTCTGTTACAACCATATTTGTTTACATGAATATAATAATAAATGTTTATCTTTGATGCCCTATCAGGGTATGAAAAGGAATTTATTTGACATTCTTTACCAGAATATATTCATATTTTTATTACAAATAATGGAGGAAAATATAAAAATAAATATTCTTGAGATAAACATAAACATTTATAAATATGTTACTTTACAGGAGTCAAAATAAATAATAAAATGTATATAAACTTTATTTCACTGCATCACTTTGTCCGAGCGCGGACAGATTAGCATTTTTAAAGGCGATTGGGCTTTCCCTGCACTGGACTCCCTTAAATTAAGAGAGCCCCCCCCCCATTGGGGAAAACTAGGAAGTATATTGTACAAGGTTTGAGGAAAAAGAAATAGAGCCACAAACTCAAATTGTGTCATCTTTTCATCTTAGCAAAATGATGATTTATATTTCAAACTGAGAGTATTTGATCTAATAGAACTCATAGTTGGAAATATCAATGGTCGTAACTGGATATAGGAATCTGAAAATATGAGTTTGAGGGAAAGATTTCATCTGTATTTTGGAGTTTCTGCAAGGCATTCAAGAACTAGATAAAAAATTGCTTTTAGAAAATTTTCTTTTCTTCCGAAAACAACCTTTCAGATAAAGCAATTTATGTTTTTAGAGACCTATTCAAATAAATAAAGTTGTGCCATTCTTTCTCATCGTATTTTAAGCAGACTAAAATTAAACGAATTTCTAGAGATCAAATGAGTTAAGTGATTTACCACAGATAAGTGATGGCCAAAAAGAAACGGTTGTGGTCAACAGCTAAATAATTCCGGTAACTATAACAAAAAAAAATTAAAATATAGAAATAAGGGCGCTTCGAGCCATTCTTCTAATTCTACTTTTAATTGTGGCTCTATCTGTGAGCATCTTCTCTTTGTACATTATAAAACAATGACAAACAAAAAAAAATTGCAGATTTTATAATATTTTTTTAGCGCATTTTCAAAATTTTACAAAAATTAATAACTTTTTGACACAATTTTTGTAACTTTGAGCAAAAATAACCCTTCCCATCGGTCATTTGAGGTCCCACAAGAAATTTGGGCTCGATCGGTTTAGCCGTTTTTGCGTATATTAGATACAAACGGACTGACAGATAAGCACGGTAGGATGCTTTTGGACGGCGGAAATACAGTTCGTATTAACCTTAAAACCTTCCTTTACTGAAAAAATCTATGAAAATATCCTCCTTTTCCTGTCTGAAAATCGATACTTAACAACACTCTTTTATCTTGGCATTTCCGCTCTTGGCTGTAGCATTTTTTTCTTTTTTATTCAAGGGTTTATTTTCTACATGTTTTCCATTCATAATTCATTTATTTATCAAACATTTTAAAAAGAATTTATTGGAAAAATTTGCAAAATTCTGAAAAGCTTTTATGTGTCAAAGTTGATATATATTGGTTGATATTTAGTTTGATGTCAAGGAAATAATAATAACGACAAAATATTTAATTTTCAATAAAATTTTGTTTTCTAAAAAAGTATTTTAATTCAAAATTATGCCGATTTTGGTCATTATTGAAGAAAAATGTTTGCAATACTTGCTGCATCTTTGTATAAAAAAAAATTGAAAAAAACACTTGTTTCTCTCAAAAACATGTTTTGCTATAATAATTTATTTAATTTCTCTAAGAATTAGAAAATTCATTTCGACATTTAATAATGAAAAGAAAACTTGAAGTGTGTGTAAACGTAATTTCAAATGACCTTCCATGATCCTTGAAACCTAAATCTGATCAATAATGTTGTTTTTCTAGGTTTAAAATTCTTTAATTCTGATCTATTCCTATACTTGATAATACTTGATCAGACAAAGCTTTTACCATTGTGATTTACAACTTGTGAATCAGCATTGCCATCTTTGCATGAAGAGTTACATGAAATTACGTTATATTCCTTAATAGACTTTCAAGGGGCTTCACGTCCATTTTCTATTTCAATTGGGAACATTTTCTCTTTGTATACATGTTAAAACAATAAGAAAAAATTCGTGGTTTTTTTAATCGTGGATTTTAAAAATGTTGACCATCCATAACCCTACCCAGGGTCATGTTCCCAAAAATTCAGGCCCGATCGGTTTAGCTGTTTTGACGTTTATCAAGTATACAAACATCCTGACAGACAAGCAAAGAATATATATAAATCCCTACTGTATTATAATTTTAGGGCAAAATGCCTGGGGGTAGGAGGGGGCTGGTTGCCCCCCAAAATACTTTTCTTGAAAACATCATTAGAAGATCGAACCAGCAACGTAAGTATAAAACATAGGAATTGAGTCTTTGTCACAAACTCTGAATTTATAATCCCTATATCTTTAAAACCCAATGTTTTAAATCTTTGATATTTCAAACTGAATTCAAAGTTTGAAATATTTAATGTCTACGACATTGGAATCCAAAGATATAGGGTATAGAAAAGAAGGATACACTACGAAATCTAAAAAAACCCTTATATGACAGCAATATCAATTAAAATAGGTTTAAACACCATCAAATAGCAAAGACATGGGGATTAGAAAATTACAGATGTGCATTAAAAATACATTTCCAAAGATATATAGTGTATGTTCAACAACTAGTTTCTGTTAAGCCATTTTCGCGAATTCATCCTTTAAATGCAAAGGTTACCCACAAAGGATGAGACTTATCTTAGTGTATACTGTCTATTTCCGTATATTATCTTAGTGTATACTGTCTATTTCCGTATATTCATGCGAGTTGACAGCATAAATCTATAAACTTATTTCTTTCTTTACCAAATCAATAAATAAACCATTTAAAGACCACATTCAAGGTAGAAGACTTAATTTAAACTCTGGATCGTCATATTTGAGTAGTTTCAGTCTTTTAGGTCGTCTTTACAATCTCATCATTTGTGGGTAACCCTGTGTCCTCAGAAATTACTGAATTCATTATTGTTAATCTTAATTACTCAGAAATCTGCATATTAAATCTAAGTTAATTTGCCCGCACACTAACTTACAGAATAAATGCACAACTTGAATCAATATTCATAATTTTCAACCAAATATTTGATCATTGATTTTTTTTCAAGGATCGGAGGCCGAATTTTAAGAATTTTAACCGTGTCACGGAACCGCCAATAACCGCCAACCGGTTCCAAATCTCGAGAAATAATTTCAATTGGAACCAACCGTGTTTGAGCCTGTCTCATTTTTGAACCTCGTCTAGACAAGATTCAAATTCTTTAAATTCGGCCTCTGATTACATTCCTCAAACTCTAATTTTATAATTTCAAACTTTGCCCATTTGATCTTATCAAATACCTTCGAAACCACAATGCTTTTGAAAAGTAAACAATAATCCCTGGTCGCTTCCTCCCCCCCATGAGCATTAGGTTTTTTCTTAAGAAAGTAAGTATATGTTTTTCTTTATTTTTTCCCTTATTAATATTTTGTGTGTGGAACTTCGAGCTAATTACGTATGACTTCTTACTTACTAAGTCAGAGTAGTGAGGCTCTAAATTACATTATATTAAAGGGACTTTACGCATAATTTCAAGTGAACCTCCATTGATAGAGTGCCATGTCTGATTCACATCGATACCCTTCAAAGCTTTGTCTGATCAGTTATGAATAATATATCCATGCTTTTTTTTAGAAAATTGTTTATTTTCATTTGTGGTTTCTCTGAAAAACGCGTGTACTGTCGTAAATCGTGTACGCTATTCTTTAAAAATAACAGTCCCTTTAAACAAACAAAATCTGGGAAAACCTTTGATGAAAGTTTCTATAGAAATGTAAAATAAAATACATCAAATACAAAATTTAAAACCGATTTGATAAGATTGAAACGGATAAAAGCTTATATTTACAAATTCTCGAATGGAATTAACTTATTATTCATCTCTTAAACAAACACAAAAAAGTTTTTTTATGAATATCGATTAAATTTTCTATTTTTTTATTTCGTTATTTTAGTTTTCTGGTTCAAGATTTAAAGGAAAAATAATGAACTGGCATTTATAGTTTCTATCTTCTGTGCTTTTACTAATAAAGTAGAACTGAGTAAAAAAAAACGTGATTATCGATGTTTTGGACAAAAAATTTTAAATTCTTGTAATGTTTGGATTCTTGGCATAAACAAATTAAATGTGATAAAAAAATGTAAAAATAATTTGGGACATTTTTTTGGAAAAAAAAAATAAAAAAATTCAACGTTCTAAAAATATCTTCAATTTATTTAGCATATTTTTTATGCCTAAAATCCGAGCAAAAACAAAAATTTGAAAATTTTGTCCAAAACATCGAAAATACCGGTTTTTTTACTCACCCTGTATTTTTTTAAATTAAGAACAGGTTGTTATGAATTCAAGACCTGTGAATTATTCCTAAAACTATGTTAATGATTTCTATTACATTTTTTCGTAGTATTTAAATGCTCTACGAAGTCCTACTCCATATGTTCTATTGTGTAAAATAACTATTTTAATATATTTCGAAAATATTTTTTAGACTCCAGTTTTCTGCTCGCAAACGCGCAAATTGTTGAATATCCAATAGTGTACTGCAACGAGGCCTTTAGCAAAACATCGGGATTTAATAGAGCAGAGGTAAATAATTATAGATTTATAACCCTAGGGACATTAAATCAATCATATCCAATATGAATCTGTATTAATGATGCTAGCACTGAGGATTTTTTTCCATTTAGAGCCTGCGGCTAAGAAAAAAATATGAGCTGTCATTGAGACTAATTGAAGACTTGAGCTTTCGGATTTAAATTACAACAAATTTTCCACAGAGTTGGGTTTATTAAACCGGTTTTAATGTTGAATTTTGCGTATTTTCTGGTTGGAATTGACGGATTCAAGGGATTTAATTAGAATAAGACTCAACATTAAGACTTTTTTCCACTAAAACCAACCAAGGTCGGTTTTATTTTCTTTGGGCCTAACTCTTTAAGTCGAGTCAAATGGCTAGCAGCTGTCGATCACGTGACACAAGCTGATTTATAAGTTGGGTCTAAGATTGAGTCTTATACGTGGGTTTTAGGAAATTAAGACTCGATCCATCAGAAATTGTTTAATTATGGGCTCTGATATTTTGTTTAATTACGGGCTCTGATATTTTGTGATCTTTCAAATAAAAATCCAACATTTTTTAGTGATGCATTTTCTTCTCAAAGAAACTGAATTTTTGTCACAAACTCAGATCTTTTCTAAAACTAATATCTCTGCAACTGGATTGTGTAAAACTTTGATATTTCAAACTCAATTTATTTGATCTACCAGAATTTATAGTTTGAAATATCTAAGGTCTACGACATTGGGTTGCAAAGTTATAATTTTAGTTTGTGGCAAAGACTCAATTTCTCTGTAGTTTTTCCGCATCTAAATTCCAGATTTTCTTATCTTTAATCTTCAATGGGAATAAAATATTGATATAGGGTAAAATTGAGCAAGGGTATTCAAAGAAATTGACAAAAAACGTGATTTCCAATTGGGCCTTGTTATTTTTGAGAGTTAACATTTTTAATTTCTTTTTATTTATTTTCTTCTAGGTCATGCAGAAATCTTGTCGGGGGAACTTTATGTATGGAGAACTCACGGACAAAGAAACCATAGGTATACTTGGTCAAATTAGAAATTTATAGGCGCAACTGAGATTTTTTATAGGGGGGGGGGATATCTTTGTGAATTTGTGATTTTAAAATTTGTGTAAATAAACCTGCAGTGAACATTTTACTGCATTCATCAAAGGAATCGAGTTTTTGCCACAAACGCAAATTATATAGTCACTGTATCTTTTCAACCTGATGGTTAAAATCTTTTATATTTCAAAATCAGATTAGAGGTTCTATCAAAATTCATATTTTGAAATATCTAAGGTCTACGACATAAGGTTGCAAAGATAATAAAGATTAGTTTGTGTCAAAAACTCAACTCTCTTGATATTTTTAAAGAAAAGCATATCATTTCCAGTCATTTTTTTACAAAGTAAACATCC